GGAAGAGAGGGAGTGATGGAGGTGATAGAAGGGCGAGATGGGGGTGGAAGAGAAGGGGACGGGTGTCGGGAATGAATGAGCAACATGTGGCGTGCTAGAGGCAGGGGGGGTGACGGAGGGGAGACTTTACATCGTTGTTAGCGTGTGGTAATGCTCTTTATAAAAAGGCATAATGTCATTGTCGTCAAGGCCCTCGGCCATACATAGTTACACGACAGCTGACTGAACAGTCACACTCATGGTCTTTCAGTATTCCATTGCCAATAAACACCGCTTACATCACCCTCAGGAGCCCACAAAGTGACGGGACAATGAGGTCAGTGGGTGAGCTAAGTAGAGGCAGCAACGCAGGACAGTTTAGAGAAGGTAAAACATACCCTATAAGTCTATTACATGTGCAATGTGGCTGCGCTAAAAAAAGGATTTTCATTATCAATTAGTTATACTCTTGATTGATCGTTTGTATTAAATGTTAGAAAATAGGATCATTACAAAATGCCCAAAATATCGTCCTCATATAGCTTGTATGTGTCAGGAAGTGACGCAAAAGTTTGCTCATACATCATCTGCCGAAGTAGACCGTGAGATGCAGCTGAAAGCTCCGGGGGGGGGGGGGGGGGAGCTAGTAAGAGAAGGCTCTGTATAACCTAGAATTTTGTGTTAACTAACATTTATTTGGTCAAGAACGAGCTTTTGCAGTCAAAGATATTCAGCTTGCTTCATATCGTAAAGGGCAAGAAGAAGCTTCATGTCTGAGAGGCCAGAACCAGCAAATGTTTAAGCTCTAATGTGCAGCATAAAATACGTACGTTACACACACACACACAAAAGGCTACCAAAGCAGCAAAACAAATCCAGCGGGCAGCTTTTAAACAGCCATAAATACACAGCCTGCACGTCTAACATAGGCAGCCAACCCATAACTTCACCAAACCTTAACATAACCTACAGATGAGGCCATCAGGTGTACAAATGTAAAAATACAGACTGTACAGAGTAGGGTGTGTGTGTGTGTGTGTGTGTGTGTGTGCGTCTTGTTCTGAGAAAGCTTTAGTTCTTCCCCTGAATAACCTTTTATATGCACTTCAAACAATAAAAATATTCAAAAATATTGTGATGCTGAAATGTCAGCACTGACGCTAAAACACACTTATGTTGAGTAGCCCTGTGGTCATGAAAGGTGTTCTTGGTCTGGCCGGGGACTCTGCGTCATGCCCTCTGGACCAGATGCCCTGATTTTAACATGTAGAGAACATGGTAGGCAGACAAGATACTCCCAGAGTAACAACTCGCACACATCTCAGCCCCATTCGCTGCTGGAGAACAGAGCCATTACATTACCACCCCTCTCCTCGGAGAACGAGGCATGAGCGCTGACCACTGGCAGACGCGGGGTCATTACATCACTGGCAGCAGCCAGGGGCAAAGCCGTAAAAGAAAGAGCAGTGGCTGTGCGGCAGGCGGGAACTGGACCGTGTGTGAGCTGATCATCGCTAATGCTCGTTAACGTTGCTAAAAGACATACAGGTCAGGTGGAGGTTCGGGAACTGCTTGACGCAATGCCGTGACACACACCACCCAAGGCCTTCAGCCGGCCCAGTAATAAACACTGTTATGTCACATTACGAGGCCATTTGAGACACACACACAAGAACATTCCATTAATATCAATGTTGGAGTTTACGTTCCATTTAAAAACTGGAATGTGCCAGTGGCATTTTTGTCCGTTTCATAACTGTAGACCTTTTGATAAGATATCACACATCAATATGTATGTATATTTCCAATACAAGTGCATTTTAGGTCTGATTCTCTGCATCATTATTCCAAGATATGATACAGCAGTCTAAATAAGCAACTTTCTGCATCTTTTTGCAGCAGAAACAACACTGATCTAATGTCTTTGTGGTTAAAGTGGGTGTCTGAGGGGGCAGTGGAGCTTCTAAACAGGATATGCTATTATAGATGGTTTCACCACCTTTTTAATCACGAAGGACTAGAAGATCAATACTGTATCTACTAAAAAAAGCACTGTTAGCAAGTATATATATTTTAAAAATGGAAACATACCTCAAACAGAACATTTATTAGTGAGTAAGCAGAAGTATGATGTATGTGGGATTGGCTAAAAAAATAACTAAAATGCAGAAGTTCATCAACATATTACCCCGTGCAACTGCATGGCAGTGTTTTTAGAGAAGCAGGAATACACTATATCAGGCCCTGGATACACAAACAAATCTTGGTTTTGGTCTTTTCATGGGATCTGTTGACAATAACAAAAATATAGAAAGTCACGAAGAAGAAAAGGGGGCAATGTCCTGGATATAGAATATCCCCAGACTTATCTTGTTGAAGTCAAAACTATTATGATCCTAATGTCACCATCAAAATAGATTCAGTAGAATCATCTCTATTGATCAAAACATGAAATAGAAGAGATTACACTAGTGTTTGAGCATTCGGGCTTCCATTATGTAGTTTCAATTCAGATGATCGTAAATATGTTGACATGCACAGACGGGATGGAACGTGGTTATAGTCTAGATCCCAGGACCGCTGAGAAGGAGCTCATGACAAAGAAAGAAGAATACAGAAAGGCAGACATGGGTTACTGCTACTAATAAGGGGAGCAAGAGCAGTGTGATGGTGAAGCCAGTACCTCCAGAGGTCAAGGTAAAGTAAGGCTGAGACACTGTCAGCTACAGAAATGTATGAAACTGTGGAAGACATTAAAAACGGTCATCAACCAGATAAACAGAGGACAAAAAATGAAATCTATATACAGTATATTTTAAATACATGAATAAACTGAGGAAGAGAATAAAACTGTCAAAGTGCTCTAGCTCTCCTCACCGCTCCCTCACTTGTATCTTTCTCACTGTGATGTACAGATTATCTTAATGGAAATGACCTCCATCTGACACAGTGGAGTGGCTCAAACCTGATTAGTTATTGACCTACCTTCCATCTCTCTCTTCCCTTTATCCACTCATCACACACACAAACAAGTCTTCCTTTACAGTACGTCTTCCCTCCTCTCCCTGCCAAATTATGCCCAGGGTCCCCCTATAGCGATGATTATTTATTGTGCCGTTTTATACGAGACAATCGTCCCTCTGGATTTACAGACTCGACGTGAGCGGATGAGCAGGGAGATGTGCGCAACCGCGGCAGGCCAAGCGTTGTGGTACCCAAGTGCCTTTAAAGAGCTCTTCGTGTCTATACAACACACGAGGGTTCAAACATCTTTTCAGAAGGCTTCCCTATATAGCTGCTTATCTGTGCAGCAAAGTCGTTGAAGGCGTCTGGTGACAGACGCGTGTGATTCCATGATTTGGCGAGAAGAGAGCGATAGAGAGAGAGAGAGAGAGAGAGAGAGAGAGAGATTTGCCCTTCAAGACGAGAGCGCTCAAGCGATATAATGGCTCATCTTTGGGTTTAAATCAGCGTGCAGAAAGTGCTCTGACCTGGTGTTGGCTGCTGCAATGTAACGCAGGAGAGAGGAAAGAGAAGATATATATATAATATATATATATATATATATATATATATATCTCAGACTCCAGAGTCCCTGAGCCCTTTGCTGTAGGTGTGCCTACTATGACGCACATTGAAAAAGTGAGGCTGCATACTATTTGTGTCTGTCTGTCAGTCAATGTTTTCACCTAGAAATGTGTTTCACAATAAAGATTTTAAACAAGCAGGGCTCCAGACCACCACAACCATCATCATCATCATCATCATCCAGATCTAAAACAGATCTCCAGGTATGATAAACCTGTGCACTGGCGCTGTAGTCTTGCAGGAATTAGACAGCAGCGAAACACAGGGAGGTTTTTTGTCGAGCAAAGAACATCTGACAATCTCGTCAGTCCCACTCCTCTTTACACACACACACACACACGCCGAAAAAAGATAGACCACCGTAGCCCTCTATGCTTCTGTGGAGGTATAACAGTTACAACAAAAGACTTCAAAGCTGGCATTTCAGCATACACACATCTGTGAATAAGTCATCCTATGATGAACCAACAAAAACGCATTATTAATGTCAAACACATTGCCTGCCATCAGAAGTGACTACATGAAGTGTAAAGCTTGTATTGATCACGATTAAGTAGAGAAAACAACCAAATGAAGAACCTCTGTAATACACAGGTCCATACCAGCTGTGCACTCTTTAACAGCATTAGTAGGCAAATAGCAATTTAACATGCAAATGTTTAACAGATGAAGTCTTTCTCTGGCTTGAAATGAATACCAAAATCAAGAGGCAGAATGTGTACTAAAAGTGAGAATGTCTCCACTAGCTTTTGTCTCTCAAGCCAATTGCTCCATATTTTGCACATCTCCAATTCACATGCAGGTCTACTCCATGTTCAGCAGCAACAACACCGTGTTCATGTTGTTGCATGTTTCACAGAGCAGCAGGGCCATTTGACACCAGGTACTGCATAGGGCTGGATGCAAGAGAAAGGGCCATATCTTTAAGGGAACAGGGACATCTTGTGGACAAATCTGGAGATGTCGCTCCAAAGCCCAGGGGATTCAACTTTCTTTGTCTCTCAAAAGTGATGTCAAACTCAATTCCTCTATGTCCTTCACAGAGAGAATACAGTGTGCTTTGTATGAAATAAAATCATTTTTCTTCAAGGCATCTTCTACTTCAGTAAAGCCACCAGAATCCAGTCTAAAATGTCTTAAAAGATAAAAAGTTACCATACGTATTTGTGATGCTAATGACAGCATTGACAACCATGATGACCATCATCATGGTTGTCAATGCTGTCACCATTTGAGATGAGTGTCAGATACCATATCTGACACTTGTGACTAATGGTGACAGGCATAGAGGGTTGACTTGCAACAAGAGCCTTCGGTTTGAGTCGAACTGGGGGACCTCTACTTTACCAGGAAGCCCCCCCCCCAAATGGTGACAATACGCTCAGAGAGATGCTTTGTGTCTCGTACAATCAGAATAAGATTAAACCACTCACCGAGTATCAGAATAGAGTCTTCTTTGTGGACGTGTTTTTCCAGAAGATGCTGGAATTTGGAGAAGCTGCCCAGCCAGTCAAAACACTGCTCCGTCTTGTATCTTTCATCCCAATAGTCAATGTCTTTGTACCTGGAGTTGTCATCCGGCAGGTAGTCCATGTTCTCTGTGACATGACAATGTAACAAAAAACGTCAACCTTTTATCCATTTCACAAAGGACAGTGAAGTGCTTATGTTTTGGCTGTAGAGATATTTGAATAGCTTTGATCCTGGAACATATGTATTCATAATAAGATCTAGTGCTGCAGCCAAACCCATTTCAGACATTCTGAGCTCATTAAGTTTGTCAAAATACAAACTCATCAGCGAGAAGGTATAGTTTTAGTGTCAATGTCAGGTAAAAACACAATATACTGCAATGGAGTATTAAAGGGTTAAAGATAGGAAAAAAAAACACATGAAATCAGAAGATATTAATCTATTTATTCATCAAATATTTCATTTTGTCATTGAAGCCGTTTTGACAAAACTGAGTAAATAGATTATTTTAAATCACCTTTTATCTTGTGAGGAAAGAGTCTGAAAGACGTTTAAATCAGGGAGTAAAAAGTGTAAAAATAAATACCCACAAATGTACATCATTTTTGACGTTGTCATGGTAACGTCCCATTCGTATTTACACCATTTCAAGCCCTCACAGTCTCTCACTCAACCACTCAACAGGTGACGTCAGTAAGTCCTTAGGGTTCAGGGTTCACGACCTTAGTGGGGACACTGGGATTGGGCCACTATGTGCAATGCAAATACCTTTTGAAGTCATTTTTGATCCAATTTGTCCGCTGAGTTAAACATGTGATGTACGCATTAGACTATCCAGGTGGTATACAGAAAGTCTTATTGTCACTGTGTATTGCAATATGTATCGTGACACGTGTATCACGTGAGTTGCTTGCCTATACACAGCCCTACAATTGAGGCTGTGATTTGCATCCAATATGTTAAATGTTTTACTCGTTAGTTGTGTATAATTTGGTTAGGTTGGATTTTGTTGTGCTAATTTGATATTTACCTGACGCTCCATTAGTCTTGACTTTCTTTGTCAAACTATTTTTTACTTCGTGGCTGTTAAAGGAGTTGGAAGTGACTCGGGGTCATTTGTTTTTAGGTACTGCCAGCAGAGCTCTTTTCTGAGTGAAGAGAAAACAAACTGTTTACTGTATGCTTTATGTGCTTCATTATGTTTCTTGTATCTTGTGTTTAAGTCTGTGTGTTTTCTTCCGTTTTTAACCATGGATGTATAAATCAACTGGCTTCAAAACAAATATATCTTCTTTCCCAAATATTTAAGCTTTGTGATGTTCCTCTGGATTTTATCTGTCGCTCATTGACTGCACTGCTTTCAGTGCTGCCACCAACTGTCAGAAGCTGTAATGCCACAACTGTAACTGGCCTTAACTTTACACCATCGGGTTACCATTAAATAATATCTTTGTTTATTTACAACAGCCTGACACTTGTTTTCTTCTGAAGTATCACCTCTCTCCGGTGACTTAGTATTGCTTTACATCTTCCTGTTAGAGAACCAACTGGTTAACCTTTAGTTTGCCAAACGTTTCAAATGGGGGACTTGGGTCCCAGTGCCATGGAGGAAGCTGGCACTCGCGATCTTCAGCGATATAGTTTTTGTGTGTGGTTTATTTTCTCTGCGTGCCACGAGCAAGCCACTGATAACCTACAATAAACAATCATATATTATACATGATATAAATTATTTGATCAGAGATGTATGGTGGATTTTACAGTCAAATGAGGTATTTAGGATATTGTATTGGGGCTAGTTCTCTCCATGCCCCCCCACCACCACCACCACCACACGGGCCCCAGTGCATCCGCACTATTTACGCCCCTGGATCCGATTCTGAACCGAATAGCCTCGTGTCGCTGCTGCTTATGATTGGGTTATTAAACGCCCCTACTTGCTCCACATAGAGCTATGCGGCAGCTGTGTCTAAACCGAGAGTGGTTCGCGACGAGCAGACGTAAACGCGAGCAGACGGAGTGAGACTCGAGCTTAAGTGAAAGGGCAGAGCAGCAGGCGGACCGGAGAAATGCGCCTCTGGTGTGAACCACACAGTGGTGTAGTGTGGACAGCCCATAGAGGTGAATATACCTAACGCGCACATCTACGTTAACCCTTACTTACGATGTCCTGGCCGCGTTTAGCGCTGACGGCGGTGTGGAGATGGGGCTGGCTCCGTCCTGCAACCAGTAAAAAAAAAAAAACCGCCGGTTCGCAACAGTGAGTAGACCCACGTGTTGTAGTTCTACAGCACTAACGCTGTAGTGCCCCAGCCAGCGTGGGTACGCTTCAATACTGCACACGCAGCTTTTACAACAAAAATAAATCTTGATGAGAAACTACAAGTGAGTCCGAGTCCTTTGAGGAATTATTAGTTTGAAGAGAGACTTATTTCCTTGTTGTTAGTGAATGATTCAGAGAAGGCGGGGCGTTATGAAGTAACACTTTAGTGCCCGGGTTTAAATTCATCAGGGATAAAAACATCTCCGTTCTGCGGAAGCATACCTTTCTTCTTGGCTGATGTGCCTAAGCAATCACTCCCAAGTTCTACTCCCTCACCAAACATGGATCTAGCAGATAACGCATGCTCAACCATTATCTCACACACCTTTGAGTTAAAGCTACGACCTAAAAAGAATACATCATGTTTCTACAATTTCACTTTTAAAATCATGCTTTTAAAGATATTTACAAAAGAAAATGAAGAGAGCCTAAACAAAGGCTGGCCTCAGCTGCTCTCTCAGGTGTGTCTGAGTTCAGGAGGAAAGTTCCAGGTGAACCTCCCACCCCGTTCTATAGACTCTGCCCCCTGTAGCCTGGGTCCTAATGGTAGGCTGCCTGTTTCCTGCCTTCCCACATACATTTGATGTATTTAAATGGACAAACATGCACGACAGGATTTTTTATGTGAGTCAGAAATACAGTCCAGAGTCAGATGAATTCACTTGTTTGATTTTGAGGAAAACAGTAGAGATGTTTTGATCTCATTTCAAATTTTACATTTCTAAATCCATAAGAGAAAATCACAGGCTGTCGCATTTCCTTTAAATAAACTCTTAAATAAGTGAATAGTTTCAATCCTGGTGGGTTAAAGTCACCAACACATATATACTTATTAATTCTCCACTCATCATCTAACTCTCACTATGAACGCTGGGTCATCATTGACCTCATGGCTCCTCCTCCATCAAACATCAATCAAGACAAACTTTGACAGAAAGAGAAAATGTGTTGTAATCATCAAACAGTTTGCCAATTTTGCATGAATAGACGATATTTATACTGCCAGCAGATCATAAATATCAAGTGTCTAAGCTGTGTGACTAATTACAGGGGGAGCATAATTATAATCACAACATTGTATGATAACAAAGTCTATTTAATTCTCCACCAAGTTTGTCTCTCTATGTTCAATAGACCTCTCCTACTATAAAACACATGGACCCATGTGAGAAGTGCATGCTCGTTTATGTCATATGTTTTGCAAAGTTGCAAAAAATAGATGTTTACAACTCAGCTGAATGCAAAAAAAATCACTGAAAAATAACACAGATAATACTAGAATGAATTTAAATATATATATTTGATAAATACGAAAAAATAATTAACATTTCCCTCTTTCTGTCTTGCTCACTCACACTCACTAAAGGCCATGGAAACGGAACATGAACTGAACACCGGATCACTATCGTGGACAATGGAAGAGCCTGAAAAAGGCCCTCAGTCGTCTGAGGATCGAGGAGGAGCACCTGCTGAGGGGAGTGGGCTGTGGATTGGACGATAACTGTGCAGGTAAGACAACTTTTATATTTATTTTAGCATTTTTCTGTTTGAAAAGTGTTTGTTTGTGACTGTTCACCTCTCCTTTAAGTTGATTGAATGTCCTAAAGAACGCCCCGTTCGTTTGCTGTATCTGTGGTGCTGCACTGACTGTGATTGATGCTCATCGCTCCTCTCCTCCACGTGGAGGCGCCGTAGGACAAACAAACACACCTGAATGTTTTCATGGGAACTAGAATATAAAGAAGCAGTGATGGAGCTGCTGTAACATGTAAACACGTTGTTGTTGTCCCAGGTGTTTGTTGAACAGTAGAATGAGTGTAAAATGAGTGTGTCCAGCTGCACTACAGCGTCTATTCACAGGCGCGATCCCACTACTGAGCGGCACAGGGGCTTTGACCTGCTCCGTCTCCGATCTGGGCCGGTGCACCCCTCCTTAGACGACCTGGTGGTCCCGGGCTCCCCCAGGAGCACCATATCGATACACCCGATTTCCATAGTCCGCTGCAGCTCAGATCTCCTGAGCTCAAACGATCCTCCAGCCTCAGCCTCCCGGTAACTTGGATTACAGGCGCGCGCCACCGCACCCGGCAAGAGAGCTACTCATTCAGAAAGGTTTGGGCTTTTACAAACGTGACGTCATTAGGGTGATCAAGCGGAATCTAGTGACGAAAGCAAAACCTGCAGCTGCAACGATGAGTTTTGCTTTGAGAAAATTAGTTTAGATGCACTTGAAACTTCTCAGTGATGTATCCTACTCCTACTAAATTTGAGTTGAAGACAAAGATTCCCAATTGTGCAGGGCACAATACATTATTGTTACAATTAAAGTAAGGTTCTAAACCTAGTTCCAAATTGTGAAATGTCATGGTGCGTCATACAATACATTCATTTTGACAACTGCGCTCCAGCTTGATTTTCACCGCAAAAACTAGTGAGAGCACTCCTGTCCTATATGAATCTAAGCCAAAACATGCACAACACAGTGCAGTTCTTTATGTTGTACTTGTAGTCGAACACTGAAATTCCTAATTTTTCATTCAATATCAAGGTGTGGTCACTCACCTCTTCAGCAGCCTTTCTCCAATTTAGTTTCCACAAGAATATGATAAAGAATGTGGCCTGTAGAGCGACACAAATATAAATACCCAACCACAGTCCTGCAACAGACAAGAACAAACTCAATTTCGATTCAAATAAGACTTTAAAGTTACGTGGCAGAGAGCTCCTCTGTCCTCACCCATGATGCCCATTTTGGCAGCAAACATCAGGCACACTCCAGTGGGAATGCCGATACAGTAATGTCCCATCAAGTTGCAGATGGCCCCGATCCTCATTTTCCCTGTTCCTCGTATAATGCCCCCTGCCACACCCTGCACACATCAAATACCATGCAGGCTCTCTCTCTCTCTCTCTCTCTCTCTCTCTGCTGTGCTTAGCTTTGAAATGAAAATGATTTCTCATGATAACTACTCTCTGACCGCAATGGCATCTGCAGGATGGAAGATACCGTAAAAGATCATGACATTCAACCATCATGACATCAGCAACCCGATGAACAATCTCTCTAAAAGATGCAAACAAAGATAAACATTAGGAGCACAGATGCATAATTTGTGCAAAGGGAATTCAGAGTTTTTTGTGTGCTTTCCTATTGTTGGAAGTAGCACACAACCTTCATGTGGCCGTGGTTTTAGGATGTTCTTTCTAACAAACAGCACGTTATGTATAAGCTTTGTATTTTTTCTTTTTTCAAAGGGAAAACAACAATCAACTCTGACACAATTAAGACAGGCTCAAGTTTGGATCAATTTTATCAGCCTCTTTATCAGAGACTTCATACACACACATCTGGATGGCCTGGAAATGTAGTGAGGGTGAATTATGAAGTCTTCAATAGTTTGGAAATGTATGGCAATACTGAAAAGTGTACAATATACATAATTAGGGTATTGTCAAATGATCTGTTGTCATACAACACCAGGGCGACGATCATGATCTTCTAACACGGTTTATAAATTAAAGAAGAATTAGGAAATGTCTTCAATTTCATGTAAGAATTAACACATGCCAGCACAGAATAAATTCAAATTACATTGCATTTCTGGCTTTTTGGATGTAAGAAAAATAAATACATGTACTCACAGTTCATCTACATTAAAATACAAAATGCCATCAGAGTAATGTCATATATTCCCCTGCAGATGGAAGTACAACACTGCTATTTTTCTTCTTTACTGTTTACTGGATAATATTCATAAGCGCTATAAAAAATTAACTCATAACCTAACCTAGTCATCCTATTTTATTATCTTCATTGTCCAATATTTTGGCTCACTTTGGCAATCACTCTACAAAACCTATAGTGCCCGTTCATCTCCATCAACAAGTGGCTCCCTGTGAGAGGCTGATCTCGTTCCTTCTCTGTGAACAGCTCACAGAGGGAAGTTATTATGCCTCCAGTGCATCGAGAGCCATTCTGTCAACTTAATGCATATCCCTCCATTTCACACTCACTGAGCTGTAATCGAATAATTCTCGACATAAACTTGGCCAGTGAGCGCTTTCTTGTCTGCAGTCTTTTTAGGGCTTCTGTCTTTTATTGCCAAACCTCCACTATGGGGATATGATTAGTTCTCTCACAAGGATCAGAGCACTTTTGAGCCTCTTCATCCATTTCTAATACCATGTGAAAGGCAGACTACACTTGCTTTTAAAGAAAGGCATATTGTTGAGTTTTTTTTCTTCTTTTTTTTAATACTTTTCTAAAAATCCCTGATACCTAAACATCCAAATAGGTAATTTCTTCATTTCATTTCATCTCTGTAAACAATCCTTGTGAGCGACTATGACCTGCCACCCCGTGGTTACAGTATATTTACTTTCAGGCAACTCTCTGGTGCCAAAGGAGACACACACGAAAGTTAAAGTATTCATCCTTCAATGCTAAAAGTAAACATGGCTTCAGTCCTTTTCAACAAAGGACTAGAGAGGACAGAATTAAAAACAAAAAAGAAAACAAGTCTGTTGGCCTATAAAGTACAATCTGTCCTAAAATGAGCAGCAACCCGCATGAGAAAACTGTGAGCCCCAGCATCCAACATGGGGGCTGGTGTAATAATGCTCTGAGCCCACATGAGCTAACCTGCAATGGGGGAATGTCACGCTGGGCCCTGAACCCACCCAGAGCCCCACTAATGTAAGCTTGTTACAGCAGACATTTTGACTTGTAAGAAAAGCTTACAACCAACATCAACAATGTATTTTTGTTCTATTCAAGTGTTCCAGTAAGCCGTGACGGTGTGACGGTGTTTTCTGTGACATGTCAAAATGTCTTCTTTTGGGTCTATTGTTGTTCTCCTTCATGATAACTTACTCATTCTAATAAGTGAACATTGCAGCGCTGTTTGACTCACATTGAGTCCCATTTTTGAAGCAAGCAATTACATGGGCTACTTTGTTGGATGAAAATAAAATAAATATATATTAGAAGCATTGAAGCTGTGTTTTCTTTATTTATTGAACCTCATGACCTCAATGGAGATGAAGCAGGTTGATCATGTAAGACATGGCAAAGAGTAACCTGAGGAATACAAATATTCCCCACTCACTCTCACAATGGGGTCATCACGTTTGACGAGTAAGTTGAATCTTACCCGCTCTACCACCCTGAACAATAGGTCTGATGCTGCATCATAATTATGTAACCCTCATGCTATCAACAGTATAAGTACAGTAATATCAGCGATGGAAAGTGGAGAAGCCATAAGAACTGCTCCGGCTCAACATTTTTATTGCACAAGTGTAATTTTAATAAATATTAAGGTTTCTTTGATTTTGAATCGGATGCAGACCTTCTGGGTCCGCCTGGAGATGCGGATAATAATTTGCTACAGATTCCTCTGCATAGTGGAGGCACTACAGACCACGTGAGAGGAATATTCAACGACGGTCCCCGACAGACCGGCTCATCTCATGCTGGCACTCCTCTGCTGCTGACATGGACTCTTGGGCTCTGTATTTTCTCAGCTTACCACAAACAGACGCGGAGGGAGGGCGACACTCTGTCTGAATGTAACCTTTGATCTGTTGACGTTTTCTCTTATTTTTGTTCTGTTTGATTTTTTCTTCTTCCCTTCTCCACAAGTTAAACCAGTTACGGGGCTATGGCTTGGCCGTGCATCAGCAGAGTGTGCTGCCTGGCTCGGTTCTGGAACCAGTTCGACAAATCGGACCTCTCCGTCCCGCTCACCATCCAGAACTACTCGGACATCGCCGAGCATGAGGTGCGATCCGTCACCAAACAGGTCTCCGCCTCGGAGCGCGCACCCGGGAATAACTACTCGACCCCGGACCAGCGTGCCGCCGGCACCCCTAGCGCACCCAAAGATGGCCCGGGGACCCGAGGATCTTTCAGGGCGCGAAAGGAGTCCAGTTACAAGCCCCGGGAGGACTACCAGCCGCCCGGAGTGCCTTTCCCCAGTGTCACCCAGTACAAACAGGATTTCAAACCCTGGCCCATTCCCAGGAAGGATAATTTCCCTTGGATTAGTAACGGGGGCAGCAGGGCAGACGGTGTTTCGGACAGCCCGGTGAACAGTTACCACAGCCAGGCACAAGCGGGGGACAGAGAGGAGCGCGGCAGGGGCCAGAGGTCGGGGGATCAGCAAGTAACGGGGGAGAGCGAGACCTCATACAGGTAGGCCATGTCATCCTATTGCTTGTTTCAGCACCTGTCGCTGTCCTCCGCGGGCTGGTGATAGAATGCTGATTCCTGCTTTGATGCTTAATTTGATGTGTTTTAATTATGCATCGACTTCCAGGGTCGGCCCAGCAAGCCGGCATGGAAATAGGAGTCATCAATAATTCACTTACAGATTTTATATTCATAAAAGACCCAGCTAAAGTAAAGCATATTTTATTTGTATTTTAGGTTGCAGGAAGTTTTCGAGCAGTGATTCCCAACCGATTTTGGCCCATGACCCTTTAGAAATAAGCAAATGCTAGTCTTCTTGCAATCCTCTGTCATACCGTCAATACTGTTGCGAGCCCTAAGATTTTTCTTATGATCCCTTGGTTGGTCCAGACCCCCCATGTTTCAGAGACATTATAAGACAACTGTTTTCACAAGCTAAGCACTCCCCATGACAAGTTGAATTGATATTCTCGTGTGAAATCAGTAGAATGCCCTTATAAGTCACTTAGAGGCTCAGTATGGGCAAACGTTTGTCTGTCAGCCACCTGATGCATTGCTCTTCCTCCAGGCAAGAGTACAGACCATGGACGGGGGTGAGACCAGCTAAAAGTGTGAGGAAAAATCCTACAGCTCAATACTCCAGCCCAGGGACAGAGGCCACCCACGTCCCGCGCGAGACCAGCTATCAGGCTGCCTACAGCGGGGAGGGCCACAGGTCCATAGGGCTGCATCAGGGGGAGAACGATATCACATCAGCTGCCTCCAACACACAACATGCTGCTGTCCTCCAGCCCATCCCCACTGCTATGCAAGCTGGCAGGTCACCCATCCCCTCCAGCCTCCAGCAGAGCATCCCGCCTGAGAGGACCGAGTTCAGTAGAACAATCAAGGGAGAGGTAGGCAAAGACAGAAGTGTTGTTCAGATGGTGTATTTTCTACGATGTATTCGAGCAAAAGCCGGTGTCAATCCTTCTGCTGGAGCGGCATAAAGTGCATTACTAAAACAGCTGTACTTTCAAAGAGCTCATTTCAGGAGCTACAGGTTTAAATTGCAGCATGCTCCTCCAGAAAGTCATCTTGCTGTTGAGGCGTTTCGGAAAAGTGATACAGCATTCTGTCCCTAAGCAGCTCAAAGTGACCCAGCTGTTTAAAACAGGCCATACTGTGTTAGGTAACACTCTGCTGGTGCTACACTCATTACTTTGACCTGAATACAGCAGGCTTGATGAGAACCAAAACGTAAACGGGTAATTCTTCCAACTGTGGTCCAATGGTCAGAAAACAAAACAAACCTGCTGACAAATGTATTGATATCCGTCTAAAAAATAAGCCATTCTTGGTATTTTATTCTAACAGACATAAATCTAATTAATAACATATTTCATTAATTATACAATCTTAATCCGTATTTGGAGTCTACATTTTGAAGGATCTGTTTTTTTTCAGCCTAGAGACAATAACATAACACAAAGCAATGCAAAGTCACACCTAAAATATAATTAAAAATACATTATTCTAAAGACATGATACAGGGGGAAAATGAAAACGTTTGAAAAATCACCCAAATATTCACCCAATTTTATGTCCCAGATTTGTGCTCTCAGATATAATGAGAGAGAAAGATGGGCATACAAAGAACCAGATGTCGGATTGAAGCATAACTTACTCCAACAAAACAAGAGGATTTGCTCAGGAAGCTGAAAACTCATCAGTTCAGTCAGGTTGTTCCAGATTATCGTATAAACTGGGTGAAGGGAAACATGCCCCTTTCTTCCTCCCCTTGTTGCTCAGGTCAGCTGTTTTGCGTGACAGTTAGTGAGACAGATTTCGGGAATCTCCAGAGGTTTAGTGCCAACCCTCTTTCCCCGCCCACACTCCTCGGTGCCATCTGCCAGTGGATAGCCGGGGCTGGTTTGGTCTGGGCCGGGTCAGACGCGTTCGTCTGTTTGCACACTGTAAATCTCACACTGAAAGCTATCTGGAAAGGTTAAAAACAAATTGTTTTTGTGGGGAAAAAGTACACTGAGGACCTCAATATTTGTGTTCTGTAGGAATCTGGGAGACATTTACAGTCTACTTTAGAGGATGTTTCATAGACAGTTTCCAGTATTTTGTAGACTCCATATTTTCAAATTTGACTACTTTTAGGTTAATAAATGAATAAATGTTTCATTATTTTCCCACCAGAATTACAACAAGTTGACTTTTTAAGACTGGTTTTCATAGGATAGAGACAATCATGCTGACAAAACTTTACATACATTATCACTGAATAAGTGAAACTAAAATAAATAAATAAAATGTGAAAATTCAAGCAATAAAAAAAAGGAGTTTAATTTTGGTGTCGTGTCAAGTTTTTCTTTGGGAAGGGAGACTTCGACTTATTACCTCAGTATTACTAAAATCCTCCTTGTGTTTGTCTGCGGTCCTGCACCTTGAGAAGTTTAGTTGATTTATGCTCGAGAGAAAAATATTAATTTGATTAAGTCTTAGAAACATTACTGCTCAATTAAGCTGCTAAATCAATAGCCTCAATATCCTGTGCGGTGGTGATGGAGGTCGAAGTGAGAGATGTCAACGGCGGGACACAGGCTATTAATAACCCATGGCCCAGTTGGAGTGAGAGTTCACGGCACATTAAGAAGGGACGTGCCACTGGCAGTATGTTCGGCTGTGGGACTGAACACTGCAGTTGGTATTATATACACACACACACACACACACACACACACACACACACACACACACACA